GGTTGCCAAGCGAAATACTCTGCTGACCTGTAATTTAGCCTTTCTTTGATAGATTTTGACATTTTTTATTTATTAGAATGATCGCGTTTAATTCTGATAGAAAATCACACAGATATAGTAAAAGTAATATGCCAAACAAACACAGAAGAAAAAGAGGTCTTTAAGTTTTTTAGAAAAAATACGTTTTGTATAGAACTTTTTGCTCTACGACGTGTCAGATTTTAGTAATGGTGATTTTTTGGCATCAAGAGTTATGCGCCAGAAAGCTATATGAAACTAAAAAACTTGCTGTTTTTACAGTACTCTCATGTATTTTGCAAGACAAACCTGTCCAAAGCCGCCTCTGAAATCCACGGAAACCTGTTATAGAAATCCGATATGCATTCAAAGTTGGAAATTTGTTACAAAAGTTGTGTTTTACTTCAAAACATCAACAAACTATTATTTTGCGTGTAGAAACTGGGCTTCATTCCAGTGCCTCCTACTTCTTGTACTTTATTCTGCTAAAATGATACAATAGTATACATTTTGAAGTCACAAAGAAATCTTAAAACCTACTGCTTTACTTGGTTAGCTGCTGGGTTAAGGCTCACCTGAGATCTTCTATGCTTCTGAAGGACCACAGCACATAACTTCAAAGAAAGAACAACAAGTTGAGCATGTGCAACCAAAGCTTTAGCAACTACACTAAGGATGTAATTCTAAAAGCCTAGAAAGACGAAATACTAGGATGAAACCACTTCTTACAACCCTACAGGATAAAGGTTTGCTCGTATTTTGAAGTGAACTCAACATTTGTAATAAATTTTCAACGTTTAAAGAATATCAGATTTTTATAGCAGGTGTCTGCTGCCTTCAGAGGCGGCTCTGGACTTTTTCTTCGTGTAAAACACATGAGATTACTATAAAAACAATAGGTTTTTTCCAGTTTCACATTTCTTTCTGGCTTATAAATATTGGTACCAAAAAGCCGTCATCACCAAAACCTGATATTTTGTAGAGCAAAAAATTCTATACGAAACATGTTTTTTCTGAAGAATTTAAAAACACCTTTTTTTTCCAGTTTGTTTGGAATATTACTTTTACTATATTTATGCGATTTTCTATCATAATTAAAAATGACCAATCCAGTAAATAAACAACAGTTAAAATCTATTAAGGACAGGCTAAATTACAGGTCTGCAAAGTTAGGTATGTCACGCGGCAACCTGGCAAATTTTACAACTTTCACTAGGCGTAACTTGGCGGAGAGTTTTTTTCTAGGTTTTTTCTTCCGCTTTCTGTACACTGGCTTAGATTATGCCAATTAGCAAAATTTTAAAAAAAA